GTCTTTTCTCTTCTGTCTGTGTATACTGCCAGTATCACAATAAAAAGAATACTAAAGTGCTATTTGGGGGAAAAAATTACTTTCAGATGCCTTAGGTTTAGAGTTGTCTGTCAGGAATAGTGGATGAACTCCTGACCCTATTGAAATCAATGGCAAAACTCCTATTGACTTAAATCAGGATTTAATCCAGTAGCCAGGGGTAGGGCTCAGGCCCTAACCACTCACTTGGCAGATAACTTTTAGGGCTTCTTCAACAAGTCACAATGACTGCTAGAATATCTGTTTTCTTTCGGAGTGTTTTTATAAGTGAGTGCCATAAGTTTTTATTTTGCTGAAACTGCTAGTTTTTCCATTACATGGTTTATTCTTGCTTTTATTATAGCAACAACAGAGCGTTTCTTCCTGATTACTGTATCTTTAAACAATAAATGTAATGCAAATATTAAATACCATAAAGTGATTTAGCTTTCAGCCTCTACTCTTTGTGCTATCATCCAGAGGTCTGAAAATTTGTCTATCAATAGTGGCCTTTTCAATCTTTCCTCACCTGCACATGATGTTTCCAGCTTACAAGGATAAAATAGTTCCTCCTTATGATTCACTTCTATGAAGATACTCATAGAAAATTAATTCATCTAAATTTATTCATACAATTTTTGTTCTATCCTGCTGTGTTAGGTATTGTTGGGCAAGGGGGGACTTAGTCCTCTCACATGCAAGGGGGGAGTAGTCTTGTTATCTTTACCCTTGATATCCCTTTTTTGTCATTGCTAAGTTAATGCTCTGAGGCAGAGAACATGCAGTATTTGTACTGCAAGATGTGTATTGCACTTTTGAGTTCTATAAAATAAATAACTCAAATCCTGGAGGTCCTACAAAATTTTACACTTAAATGATGGCTATTTCTTCTTCTAGAAGACCCTGGCTATTTACTAAGATGGAGTGAACAAAAGCTGCATTCATAAGTGTGCTTGAACTAAACATAATTCCATTACAGTGCATACAATATAGTGCTGGTCTGCTAAAGATTAAAAAGAACACTAGAAAGGTGGGATACTATGTGTCTAATGGCTTTGAATACTGTTTATGGCTTTTTCTCTTTGTTGGACGAAGAGTTGGTAAGTTCACTAATGCATATTAAATGAAAATGTATGAGGCAGAAATATCCCAGAGAGAAGCTAAGATTGATCTATTACCAGTACATTTGATTACGTATCCAGGAGTCAACACAAAAACTCCATCAGTATTAAATATGCATTCCAGTACAGTTTCTGCCTAGTTTAAAGAATTTACACACTGGGCTATTTATATCACCTCTACTCTAGCAGGCTCGTCTGAAAAGTTCCATGTATCTGCACAGCCTAATATACTGAAATATTCATCTGATCCTAAAAAAGTTAACACAAACATTTTCACAGCTCAGAAATTACCTCTGGAATAATTTTGCTGAACTGAAGCTGTAATACCAGTTTAAGAATAAGGGGATGATTATTCCAATTCTCACGTGGATGACTTTTTTTTTCTTTTGTGGGGGAGGGCAGAGATTCTTCTGAAGTCCTTTTGGAACCCTGAGATTCTCTATACTTTCCCCTATTTTACAATTTCTACTCTTAGCAGCTGCCATGCAGGGTTGTGTGTGTGTGTGGCCAACAAGGCCTAGATGGGGCTCCCTTGCAACCTGTTACCTTTTGCTTCTTAATGATCAGGTGGGATATTGCCAGGATGAAACGGCTACTGTAGCAGTGCCTAAACCGTTAGAGGGACACAATTTCCTCACTTATTCAGATTCTTACCTTTGTGGATTAGCCTGGATTTGTACTTATTCTTCAGCACTCTCCAGCATCCAACTTTATGTGGGTGATGTATTTTAAATAAAGAAAGACAGACCCAAGATGAAAAGCACTTTAGATTTACCATAGACTAAATGTACAGTCTTCCTCCAGAAGTGAATGTCTAACAAGGAACTTGGTATGTATAGGGTTAGCTATGCAGAGAAAGATTTTCAAAGGCACAAATATCTCCATTTTCATGACTATTAACCCTTCCTAATTCTTAAATATTCAGTGTATTCTGAAAGGTGTAGAGATAGTCAAAGCTTCAAACTTTGGATCTAGATTTCATACATTCTACAGTTCAGGGCTGTTTCCAGGTGAGGTTTTGGCTTGGCCATTTACAAATATTACAATCCCTTTGCAAAATGTAGGTATTTGAACCCCAAAATTCAAAGGAGTTTTGGATTAATGAATTTGGTTTGGGCCTATCTCCAGTAATCTTTACTGAAAAACAACCTCGGTTAAATTCAAACCTATGAATTTACCTAATTCTTTTGTCTTCACAATATTCCCTGCCAACAGATTGACTGTGTTGTGTGAATAAGCACTTCTGCTTGTTTGTTTTAAACTGCTGCCTATTAATTTCATCAGGTGACTCTTGGTTCTTGCATCATGTGAAAGGTGAAATAACACTTCCTTACTAATTTTCTCCATACCATTCATGATTTTTGTTGCCCTTCTCTTAACTTTTCCCAATTCTACTATATATTTTTTGAAATGGGGTGACCAGATCGGCACCCACTACTGTATAGTGTTTCATTTAGATGTTTTCTTTTAATATTATGGACAATTCTGAATTTTAATTCCCTATCAAAAATAACCCCCTACTTTACACATACCCCCTCCCAAAAAAGTCTAATTTTATTAAGTTTGGGTTGACAACTGCCTATGGCATTCAGCACTAAATAGAGTTAATTCTGAAATTTTCTTACCTAAACCACCTCTCTAACAGAAATGGTATTTATATAAAATAGGAAACATGATGGTGAAACTTAACTATCTTCCCTTTGGTTTTGAAATAAGAAATGTGTCTAGTTAAATGATCACAAACTAAAACCCTGCATGTGAACAGCTCTGGAAGGGCTGGGGGGGGGGGGAAGGAGTCTGGGTCCTGGTTCATCTCACTGTTAATATCTGACATTTTAAAAAATGGGTCTTCACGCCTGTCAGCTAGGGTCTCTGACCTTTCACATACAGTTTTTTCAAATACACACCTCAAGAAATCTCCCACGCCCCAGTTCTGCTATTGCTGTTACCTGGCTCCACTTTCCTACTTGTAAAGTAAGAGGGAGAAATAAAGTCCAGGGAGGCACAGGGAGCAGAACCTTACTCTTCTGCCATATTGAATTTAAGGGACCTGAACTTTGAAGGTGGAAGGGATAATGGGGCGGAGGGAATTAAACCGCGACCGAGCCAGAAACCCACATACTACAGCCAAAGACCTAAAGTCTAGCAAGAAAGTTTAATTCGGGAAGATTCATTTGGCAGCAGGCTGCACATAACTCTTGCCCTGTGCACGTGAACCCCGCCCTGTGCACCATTGTGCGGTTACAATCAGCGGGGCTCCCCCTTCACAAGTCGGTATTGGTGAACCGGGAACAGTCGGGTCAGCGCCCTGCCCTGGCGGGGTTCCCCGGGCCCAGCCCTGCGCCCTGCTGGAGCTCGGCGCTGGGTTTCTGCGGCCCGGGTGAGTGCATCTTCCCGGGGGCTCCGCGGGAGCCGGGAATCCGGGCCCTGTTAAGACCCAGCGATGCGAACTGCCGCAGCTGGGAGCGGGAGCAGCCGCTAACCTGTAGGAGCCAGCGGCCCTGCCCAGGGGAGAGCCCGACCTGAGGCCGCCGCCTGCTTTGGCTGGGTCCCATCATGAGCCGGCTGCTGCATCCGCCCGAGCCTTGCCCCAGCCAGGAGCACAGCTGGAGTCCGGGCAACCGGCCCCTCCCGCTGCGTTCATGGACGTCCGAGCCGCCCGGAGATCCGGCAGCGGGAAAAGCGAGCCCAGGTCTGCGCCGTGGCAGGGACCCGCTGCCCTGGGGGGCCGGGGGCGCGCGGCTGGGCTGGGGGAGCTCGAGAGGCTGGGCCCAGGGGCCTGGTCACAGGTGTCAGCTGGAGTCGTGGCGTTGTGTCTTAGAAGGCAAAGCTAGTAGTCGGGGGGGCGGACACCTTGCTGGGATTGTTCTTGTAGCTGGTGTGCAATAGGTAGCCCATACATTCACCCCCAATCCATGGAAACTCCCAGTGCTGCCTCTGGGGAGAGAGAGACTATGTTGTCCCAAACGTTTTAAAGCGTTTTCCGTCCTGATTTTGAAAACCCTTGTAATGACATTGTCGCTTGATGGCACCTGCTAGCCGTTCTAGTTTTCTCAGGCACTCCTTTGTAAAGGAAACCCGTGCCATAGAGTCATTTAATTTTGAAGGTAGGTTATGGTATCTTAATGTCAGGTGAAATGGAGACTGGGTGTTTGCTGGATGAACAATCCTTGTTTATACCCAATTGGTGTTGTGTTCTTCTATTTTGACATATAGTTCCTGCTTCCTCAAAGAAGACAGATTTGAGATTTGTTTTCTGCTTTTGAGCTGGCCTGAGATGCCATCCGTTTAAATAATTATAAAAACTCCATGAGAGGAGGAGTCTCTGTTTTTGGCTAACAAGGAAATCAAGCTCATGTGATCTTTCAGTTGTTTTAACTCAGTTTATGAACTCTGATGCCTTTTAAGCAGTGTGATCTAATTATTACAGCAGGGACATGGAAATGAAACCCAGGATCTGACTCCCAACAGGCATGCTGATTTGTGTGAAACTTTGGGCAAGTTCTTCAATCTCCCAGTCTGTAAAAGGTGCTATATCAGCACAAAGTATTTATCATTCGCTCCTTTTTGTTTTGCTCTAATGGGGTTTTTCTGTTTAGGCCATTCAAATAAAGGACTGACTTAGCCCCTGGTCCTGCAACAGTTAAATGTAAATTTAACTTGACTCATGTGAATAGTATAATGGAAGTTTGTGGTACTACTTACAGGTGTAACTGTTTGTAGGATCCAGGCCTTATTTTTAAGCTTTTGTTTGAGAAGATTTGTGTCATACCTTAGTAGTATAACATTGTCACTTACCGTTGCACAATTCAATATTTTATCTCATTTAAAAAAAAAGTACATTTAGTGTTGCAGGAGGTAAGACTTAGCCCTCTCACATGCACATTTCTAAAACTGATAAACTTCTAGTGTGTGTGTGTGTGGGGGGGGGGGTAACTTTGATTAACAAGTGAATCTGTGTTTAAATAAATAGCTAGGATCTGGAATCTTATGTGTTCCAGTCTAAAAAATAGCATATCTTATTTACCTCTGAGAATAGACTCTCCACCTAATATGAAGATTCTTGAAATAAACAGTTTGTTATACAATCAGAGTCAATGTAACAAACTTAAAGCTATTGTCCTTCAGCGGACAAGGAAGACATTTACTGATGAAAAGATCAGTCTGGGGTACATTATAAAACATCAGATTCTAGGCTATTAAGTGGTTTCAAAGTGCATCTACAGAGTTGTCTATTTTTTACCTCTTTCCACACATGAGTAACTTGCACTGGGCTTAGTGGGATTTATATGTGCAAACTGAGGAGAGAATAACTTCAATACAAGATTTAAATTGATCTAGAAAAACCATGACAGAAAGTGTTTCCTGGGTTTTAGAGCATAAGTCTTAAGGGCTCTCAATCGGCCGTGGAACTTCCATTAATGTTGGTTAGAGTTGCTGGCGAGGACCAAGGGAAGTGGTATGTGGCACTTAGAGCAGTGAAGTGACTGAGTGATTAGCAAATTTACACTTCCTATAGAACCATTGTGAGGAGCTAAAAACGCCAAATGTTTTAATGTGTTTATAACAGGCTTGCACAATTCTACTGGCATATTCTCCTTGGACAAGAATTTTTCTAACAGGCTACTAAAATGTCGGGGAGAGGGGAGGTTGGTTTTTTTCATCCTTAAGGGTAGATGAGTAGATTTTATGCCTGGGCTAATACATTTTCATGATGGTATTTTGCAAGGCTGTTACATAATGAAGATTGATTAATGTGATAGTGGCTCAGTGTGGTTGTGACCACATTACACAGGCATTTGTTGGAGAGTAAGTTTTGGGCACAAGAAGGAATGTTTATTCAGAAGCATCGGGTAATTTTGTTTAAATTTTGGGAGACAAGAAAGGATGTGCTAGACATCACACTGACTCAGCTGCTGATGCTTTCAGTACATCCAGTTTACTCAATTCTTGTTTCCTTCCTGTAGCTACTGGACCTAACTTTCATACTTGGACCTAACATATTTTGCAAAGTACTTTTAAGTACCCTGGATATTTGGATTTTCATACTGTAAGTCACTGAAAATTACATAATGTATTGTGTCTCCGTTGAGGGCAACTGCACATTTATTCACCCTTTGGGGTCTAGCAAGGACACCCAATTTTAGTTTTTTTTTTCTCCCCACCTGATACCAGTAGCATGCCAGCAAGAGAAAGATGAAAGGAAGTTCAGGTCCTCTACTTAGCAGGGAAAGGGGGCTAATAACAGACAACATAAGAAGGCTGAGGTGTTTAATGCCTATTTTGCCTCACTTTTCACTGAAAAGGATAATTGTGAGCAGATACATAACACAATTAATATTAACAACAAGGGGGAAGACACAGAAGCCCACAAAGGGAAAGAACAGGTTAAAGAATATTTAGTTGTTAGATGTATTCAAGTCAGCAGGGCCTGATGAATTTCATCTTAGGGTACTTTAGGAACTAGCTGACGCAATCTCAGAAACATTAGCAATTACCTTTGAGAACTCGTGGAGCACAGGTAAGGTCCCAGAGGATTGCAGAAGTCCAAACATAGTACCTGCCTTTAAAAAGGGGAACAAAGAGGACCTGGGGAACTGTAGACCAGTCAGCCTAACTTTGATACCTGGAAAGATTCTGGAACAAATTATTAAACTGTCAAATTGTAAGTGCCTAAAGGATAATCGGGTTATAAGTAGGGCCCTACCAAATTCACGGTCCATTTTGGTCAATTTCACAGTCCTAAGATTTAAAAAATTGTAAATGTAATGATTTCAGTTATTTAAATCTGAAACTTCACAGTGTTGTAATTGTAGGGGTCCTGACCCAAAAAGGAGTTGTGAGGGGGGTGCAGTACTGCTACTCTTACTTATGTGCTGTTGCTGGTGGCGGCACTGCCTTCAGAGCTGGACAGCTGGAGAATGGCGGCTGCTGGCTGGGATCCCAGCTCTGAAGGCAGAGCGGCTGCCAGCGGGAGTGCAGAAGTAAGGATGGCATGGTATGGTATTGCCACCCTTACTTGTGCGCTGCTGCCTGCAGAGCTGGGCCCTCAGTCAGCAGCCACCACTCTCCAGCTGCCTAGCTTTGAAGGCAGCAGTGCAAAAGTAAGGGTGGCATAGTATGGTATTACCACCCTTACTTCTGTGCTTCTGCTGGTGGGGTGCCGCCTTCAGAGCTGGGTGCCTGACCAACAGCCACCGTTCTCTGGCCACCCAGTTCTGAAGGCAGGGCAGAAATAAGGGTGGCAATATCACGACCCCCTAAAATAAGCTTGTGACCTCCCCTGCAACTCTTTTGGGTCAGGACCCCCAATTTGAGAAATGCTGGTCTCCCCATGAAATCTGTATAGTTTAGGGTAAAAGCACACAAAAGACCAGATTTCACCGGTGGGGAGACCAGACTTCAGAGTCTGTGATGCATTTTTCATGGCTTTGAATTTGGTAGGGTCCTAGTTATAAGGAATTGCCAGCATGGATTTCTTAAGAACAAACTGTACCAAACCAACCTAACTTCCTCCTTTGACAGAGTTACTGGCCTTGGGGATAGACGGGAAACTGTAGATGTGCTAAATCTAATTTTTTTTTAATAAGGCTTTTGACAGCCTACGTGACATTCTCATAAGCACACTAGGGAAATGTGGTCTAGATTCAGTTACCATAAGGTGGGTGTACAACTAGTTGAAAATCCATACTCAAAGGGTGGTTATCAGTGGTTCACTGTCAAAGCATCTAGGGAGGTCCTGCAGAGGTCTGTCCAGGGTCTGATACTACTCAATATTTTCATTAATGACTTGGATAATGGAGAGGAGAGTATGCTTATACATTTTCAGATGGCACAAAGATGGGAAGGGTTGCAAGCACTTTGAAAGAACAGGATTAGAATTCAAAACAAACTTGACAAATTGGAGACTTGACAAATTTCAACAAAATGAAATTCAAAAAAGGCAAGTGCAAAGTACTACACTTAAGAAGCAAAAATCAAATGCACCACTACAAAATGGAGACTAATTGGCTAGAGGGTAGTATTCTGAAAAGGATCTAGAGATTGTAGTAGATCACAAATTGAATGAGTCAACACAGTGATACAGTTGTGAGAAAGGCTTATGTCATTCTGGGGTGTATTACACAGGTAGTAGATGTGCCGTCTTACTCAGTACTGGTGGGGCCTTAGCTGGAGTAGTGTTCTGGGTGCCACACTTTAGGAAAGATGTGGACAAACTGGAGTGAGTCCAGAGGAGAGCAACAAAAATGATAAAAGATTTAGAAAACCTGTCCTGTGAGGAAAGGTTAAAAACGGGGCATGTTTAATCTTGAGGAAAAAAGACTGAAGAGTAGCCTGATAAGTTTTCAAATATGTTAAGGGTTGTTATAAAGAGTAAATGGTTTACAATGAATAATTTACCCAACATCTATAGCTTCTTCCTCATCACAGAATATCCATGAGCAGATTGTAGTTTTCTGGAATGACCAATAACAATGCTTGGAGTGGATTATTTTTTCTGTGCATTGATCTTCAACAGTTTGCTGCAAGTGTCTGATAACTGAGCTTTTACTATCTTGTGATTGGTCAGATAATTCACATGGTATTTTCTTTTCCTTGACTGGATGAGCATGCAAGCATTTTTAATGGGAATAGTCACCCATGTAACTTTGCAGTTAGCATTCTGTGAACATTCATGCCAATAAAATCTCA